TTAATTTTTTTAAAAAAAATTCAAAAATAATTTTTTATATTATTTTTTTTATAATTTTATTTGTTACTTAAATGATTGATTTTTTTATTCATTTGTAACCTGTGATATTGAGTATATTTATTTATTTAATAACATATAAAAGTTATATAAAAAATTGTCCCTATATTACTACTCATTTTTTAAATAAAGTATTTAACCTTAAACAAGGAAATGAGAATATTTCCCTCCCATTTTTTGAGCCACATGTTAGCTTAAGTGGGCCATATAGTGGCTTTCATGGCACCACACAATTAGAATTGGAAAGTTCCGTCAATGTGGTTAACGGAGTTGCATAGGGGTAGATGAAAATGAAACAATTTTGAAAGTTAGTAGATGAGTTTGGAAGAAAACAAAGATTCTAGACTAAAATGAAAAAATAGTAATAGTTAATAGATGATTTTTTAAATTAAGTCCGTTAAAATCATTAATTAGAACTTCCTGCTTTGAAGGTGGCCCATAGCCGTCTGTTTTTGGGCTTAGATAGATTTTCTTGGTAATGATTTGGGCTATCTAGATGACTGCGGCCCCATTTATCTAGATCCAAAAGAAGAAAGACGAGCCCATTCTCTTACTCCCGCAGCATATTCTCCTAGTCTGGGACTCCAGTATGTTTGTGTGTGTGTTTTTTTAAATATGTAGGAACATTGAACCCTTCTTATAAGAAAGATATGCACTTTTAATTGGATTAAGAAGGGATTAATTTATATCTTAACCATTAAGTTAAAAAAAAAAAAAAAATGGGCCTCTCCAATTGAGGTGCAAATTTTCTTTTTCTTTTTCTTTTTTTTTTTTTCTACATAATCCTATTCTCTTGGCTCCCATCGTTTGAATAGCATATAAACTCCTTTTTTTTAAGGAAAATTCTTTTATGGTATGTCTACTAAATTTTTTTCATTACTTAATAAATGTGTAATTTGTAATATTATATAAATGAAAATACTCTAATAAAATTTTTTATAAATGTATCAAGAATTTTTATAATGTATATAATACATTTTTTAGATGTAATAAAAATATTAATTTTTTATTAATATTAGTTAAACTAATTACCATAAAATTAAAAAAAAAACTTTCTTTACACAAAATTTTCAATTTTTTTTCACCATTAGAGGTAAATATATTTTGTTCAATTTCAAATCACTTGATATTTAAACTAATTTTTTTGATTAATTCAATTAAAATTTTAATTAATTGAAATATTTCAATTTGATTAATGATAAAAGAACTTTTTTTTTTTGCTTAAAAAATTTAAAAGAAATTTGTTAATTGAATGAACCATATTAAAAAAAAAATTTAGTAATAAAAACTGAATTTTT